GAGAAGGTCCCGGCGAGGCCGGGGGCTTTTTCGCCTTCGAAGGAGATCGACCCTCCACGTCCCTTGGTGCTTCCACTCGAAAAAGCTCGTTGGCGTCAGGCGATCCCATGTTCACGTTTCCACCGTGATCCCGGGAGAGCGTTCGGCGGGTCCTTCATGGAGCGCTGCTTCTCCTCAGCTCGCTCCTTTGCTTGAAGAACGGCCGTTTCGTGTGGGGACAAGGCGGTACTAGCGATTCCGTCAAAGTATTTGTCATTGCGTCTAAGCACCCCTTCAAGGAGTACCCCACCTGGTTGGCCGAGTAGCTCCTCGGTGACCGGCTCGGTTACACTCGATACCACGGTCACTGAAACAAACATAGACGGTACTTTCATGACGAATCGGGCTCGACAAAACACCTCCTTGCACCCACTCGGCCGGTGTGCAAAACGCCGCCATCTCCGACCCGGACCCTAAGGAAGTCAACTGTGTGACCCGCCGCTGGCGTCATCAAACTCTAAGTCCATGCTTACTTTTCTTCAGAGTAAGTTTGGCGAGGGAGGCGGTCACTGTCGGGCAGCAGTACTTTTTCAGGTTGCGGACGCCCACACTAATTACCCCCAGTCAAAAAGGAAAATTGGTGTCGGGCGGCTGCAACTCTGGTTCAGAAAAAGTGAACCTGATTTGTAGCGCCCGATTAGTAGTCTTCTAGCTAGTCATCAACACCACATAGGCACACACCTGTGCACCCGACACTTCGGTCCACCACCTCATCCTTGATGAGTGGCTCTCCCGGATCCTGTCCGTCAGTCTCCCTTATGGTCGGCTCAGGCTCCCTGTTAACTCATACTCTCCGTTCTGTAGAATCTCTTCATTCCCTGTCTGGGAAGGTGGGCGAATTCAATGCAATCCAATTCAATTCATTCCAATCCAATCTAATCCAATAGAAAAATTGCAGCCCAAAACAAATATTAGCTTTTTCACAGACACTTTTACAAAAAACGCTATCAAATACAATGCAGGGCAATGGGCAAGTTTGCTCATCCCCCATGACTGGTCAAAACAATGGCAGCCATTGGACGACGCCATTCTGCGATCTCGGGCGGATGCTTTTAAAATTGCTCGTCCTTCAATGTACAGTCGTACCAGGTAGATTCGTCCTTCAATGTACCAGGTAGATTGTGAGACCTTCACATGAGCTAAGGAATCCAATTTGCGGGCCAACACTACTCAGTGACACACATCACACATTTTGGGACAGCCAATGCTGCTACTTCAGGGCCAGGCACTCTAGAGAAGGAGGAGTCAAGAGCAAGCTTCTCCTCGCAGATCATGCAGGCCAAAAAGACTGACTGGAAAATGGGGGAATCTGAAAATGGGGGAATCTGTGTGGTTACCTTATGCGAAGGTTCATCACTACACATTTTTTGGCAATCTCGAGAAGAAAATTTCTTAGTTTTTCTTTGCTTCCTGCACAATCCCTTCTAGTTCTTCTATTGCTTGTTCGCCAGGATAAAGGTTCCCATTAATTTCCCACGTGGGATATCCTGGAACATTCTTCTCTTTGCAAAGGCCATTTTGTTGATTGTAACCATCTTTGCTGCATTCAATGTATGGGATTTTGGAAAAGGCTTGCTTACCAAATGCCTCTTTTTGATCATAGCAATGGGAGCACCTAAACAGCCAATGCAATATGTGAGAGATTGGATGCATCCTTGTGGCTGTGGATTGTAGGTGTATTGTGCGGTGAAGATCACATGACTTACCAATAAGCGCCGTAGAGTTTGGCATTCAATGTGAGAAGCTCGGCCGACAAGGCCAGCGTTCGTTTCGACGACACAGTCGTAATAGGTGGTGGTTTGTAACCTTCGGCTGAGGCTTGTAGTAGAGTCGCTGATTCTACAGCTGGACCACCAGCAGATCCAGGAGATTGAGTCGCAGCGCTCGCGTCATGGACGCTCAGGAATAGTGTCAAGACGGCCATAACAGTGGTTGCAAAGCTCCCCAGACTGATTACTCGACGTAGTTGTGAATTCCAACATGAGGGATCTTCTTGGTTGGGAGTGATGAATGGACTTCTTTCTTCATTATTAATAATGTTGGAGTCTTCTGCCATTCCCGGTATCCTGAATCCCCGAATCCCCGTGGAAACTTCTGATGTGGTGTTGCACAATCCCTCTTCACAAACCCCAATTTCTGGGGTGAAAATGCCGTTGCTAAAGGGAAGAACAGAAGGGATAATCTGATTGCTCCTCTCATCTTAGCTTTGGTGAAGTAGTGAATACGGTACAAGCGTATGGATCCAACAAGTTAGTGAGGGTCAGATACGATGATATTGAGTGAGGGTTGTGCATGGCAAAGTGGAAGATACGCTGCTGAAAGCCATCCATCGACCACCTGGTCGATCCCAATGTTGTCGTTCTGACGTCAGTTAAGACCTGTTTCGAACAACCTTGTTGGCTTCAAAGTGATGCAAGTCTGAAAAAGGTTTGCTTGGCTGCATTCACGCTCATGACTAACTGCATGACGTGTTGATGACGACAGCAGGATGTGTTCGCGCCGCCGATTGGATCGGGTCCCACGATTGCATGATGTTGAAGTGCGTCCTACAGCTGGAAGCCAACAACCTCAGCTTCCAGCAAAGAACATGTAATGCAACAGGGCAACGATGGATGGATCTCATCAGGTGTACAATAGTAGCAGCAAACTGCTTCAGGAACAAGATAACTTGTGGATTGGGTTGTTTCCAAACCACCGCATCATCTTGCCATCATCATCATCATCCTCAGCCCAGGTGTGATCGAGTTAGATTGAAAAGCTACAGGCTTCATTTCCTCAGTCAACCCCCAAAGACCAATAGAATAGTACTTTCTTTTAGATTCTTCCAGCAAGCAAGATGAGATTCTCTAGCACAGCCTTGTTGGTGGCCTGCATGGCAAGCTCTGCCAGCGCCTTTGCTCCCCGGCAAGCACCAAGAACAACGACAGCCGTGTACCAATCGACGGCTGCTGCTTCGGATACGGAAGAAGAACGCAAAATGCGCAAAAAGGACGACCGATTGCGCATGATGAAATCCGACCAATTCCATCGCCGAGGATTCAAGGAAGTCCGAGAACAGGTCGAAGATACCATGTCGGAACAATTCAAGAGTGAGCTGGTAGAACAGTTCAAAGAGAATAACTATGTCATTGATAAGGATGGAGTCAAGGTGTACCTCGCCAAGGTAAGTCATTGCAACACTGCTAAGATCATTGGAATCCTTATCTTAGCTTATCGGTACTTAGCAAACTCACCAATATTATCTTGCGTTTCCACCTTTCTCTCTGCCTTGATCCCCCCCTGATCCCACCTTGATCTTTTTCTCTTTGTCTACATGTATATACCCATATACCCATGCTACCTACCTGTGTTTGTGTAGGACTTTGGATTCTGCTGGGGCGTCGAACGTTCCATTGCTTTAGCCTACGAAGCCGTCGAACACTTTCCCGACAAGACTGTTCACATTACCAACGAACTCATTCACAACCCCGAAGTCAATGACAATTTGTCCGACATGAACGTTCAGTTTATTGAAAAGATTGATGGCGATGCCGCACGCAAAGATTTTGAGAAGGTAAAAGACGGCGATGTCGTCATTCTGCCCGCCTTTGGAGCCAGTTACGAAGAAATGGACATGCTCGATAAGAAAAATGTCGAAATTGTCGACACCACCTGTCCGTGGGTCAGTAAGGTATGGAATACCGTCGACATGCACCAAAAGAAGGGACTCACCAGTATCATTCACGGCAAGTACGCACACGAAGAAACTGTTGCGACCGTGTCCTTTTGCGAAGATTACATTTGTGTCAAGGACATGAAGGAAGCCGAAATGGTCGTCGATTACATCGTCAATGGAGGAGACAAGGAGGCGTTCATGAAATACTTCAAAAATGCCATTTCCGAGGGATTCGATCCCGATACCATGTTGACCAAGGTCGGACTCGCCAATCAAACCACCATGTACAAGAAAGAAACCAGAGCCATTGGACAGCTATTCCAAAAGGCAATGATGAAGAAATACGGACCCGTCGATGCCAAGAGTCATTACATGGAGTTTGATACTATTTGTGATGCCACGCAGGTGAGTGTTCCGTTGGCCTGACTCGTTTCGTACTGAATATATGGAATGATCATCTCACCCAAGCAACTTCCTTCATCCCTCTTTCGTTACACTCTTCCCGATTCGATTCATTCCTGAAAATGCGCCCATCTATCTTGCTTATCCACAATCTACACACTCGTACTGCTCGTATGTACCACCATAGGAACGTCAAGATGCCGTCCACGATTTGGTGGAGAATGCCGAAACCCTTGGCCTAGACTTTATCTTGGTCGTGGGTGGATGGGATTCCTCCAACACGGCTCACTTGCTCGAAATCCCCGTCAAGGCCGGTATCCGAGCATTCCACATCAACAAGGCCGAATGCATCGGAGCGGACAATACCATTACACACCGAAACATGGAGGGAGAAATTGTCACGGATACACTGGTTGAAGACTTGAGCAAGGATGTCGTCATGGGGGTCACGTCGGGAGCATCGACACCAGATGCCGCTGTGCAATCGTCCTTGGGCAATATCTTTATGCTCAAGCAATTGCAAGAGGCAAACTAACTCAAGGAACTACTACTAGCAAAAAGTGGAGTACTTGATTCAGTACTACACGGCTAGAATGACGGTGGTCTCTGATCACTCCTACTACGGTAGCCACGACGCTCCTCCCCATACTCGATGACTACGAATACTACAACTACAACTGAATGAATGAAGCACTTAATAATAATTCCTGTCGTTTACATAGAGAAAGGCTTCATTAAGCTTTCATCTACTCACTCAATTGTACTGGCTCAACTTGCTAGCTTGCCACGGGCAGAGAAATTGTGCACTCCGAACTCTTGCGCCCCGTTACAAATGGAAGGCTCCGGACCCTCTGTAAGCACTGCTACCGCTATCTGTTACGGTATATGCACCGAGCGGCTCTCGCAACCGCGTGTTGTGTGGCAGAGTGAAGTCCCGGCGATGACAGCCCCGAAGGCCAACGTCAAGATGAAAGAGCATTCCGCGAAGCGTGTTGCTGGCATTACTCTGCCTGCAAAGATTTCAGCTTTCGCTTTCTAGTTCCGCCCTCGTGTTTTCTTGTTTGTGCAAAACTGGTCCACTTCGATGGCGACTCTCGCAAAAGACCGTAGACAAATGGGACCACCATATTGGAATCCTCCTCTGATAAGGCAGCCAATATAATATCAAGGAAAGAGACTGGAAGGACTTCTTCACACCGCATCTTCCTGCGGCCCAACCGATTCAATGACATGAAATAGCTTGCCTTTTGCCCAGGTGTCTTGTATTCAACATTATCATGGGTCAGTGCCAGGGACTCCAGTGTCACATTGTGATCCCTCAACACATCGTCAAGAAGTTCACAACACCGCCTACACTCGTTTTGGAAAATAAATCCAAGGCAAAGGTCAACAAGACTGGTATTGTCTTGGAGATGCCTGCAAAGAACAGGAATATCAATTGGGAAATGGAATTCCAACCTTCTGAGCAGTCCTTGCTCCAACAGGGTCACCACAGCTTCTGTTACTTCCCTCGTATTGCCGCTTTCAACTAAGTCCACGTTAAACAGACGCAGCTCTGTCAGGAAAGGAAGGTTTCCAATCTTCGTCATGAAACGAGAGAAGCACCATCCAGTGCCACCAAATTGCGCATCCTCAATGGTAAGTTCTTCTACATGGCAAAGATCCCAGAGATCCTGAAATGTGTTCTCGGGCCTCCTAGAATCCCTTCTTCTGTGGAGATCAGAAAGTTCACAGGACTCCAGGTGTATCTTGGATGCACCTGTCAGGAACAGATCATCTAGTTCTTCAAAAGACACTAATGCCAAGCCATCGAAGGACAAATGCTTGATGCACTTGTGCTTGTTGCATTTCATGCCGTTGATAATCGCATCAAAGTATTTCGTTGAAACAGGGTGTTCGGGGCGAAGATTTTCAAATGTGAGGGATCCCAAACATTGAGTGTTTGACACGAAAGACTCCAATGCGGCTGCTTTCTGCTCTGCTTCGTATAACCCGTCGCCGAACCATTCACCATTCGCAGTCCTAATTGTCAATGCTGCAATATTTGTGCTCTGCAAGGCCTGGAGAAGATACACAATGGCGTCTTCTTCCGCACGATCTCCCATAACGGGGACATCTAAAGATTTGAGCTTCAACTTGGCAAGTAATTTCTTCAAGGCTTGAGCAGCTGTCATATCTAACTCCGTTGGCTCAAATCGAAAGGATAGTTCTTCATCTGGCAACTTGGACAAGATATATTGAACAAAGATATCAGAATTGGCCTCCACCGCTGCAGTCAAAAGGGTATTCCATCTTGTCCGATCTGCCCAGATATTGTCAAGTATCTCCACCATTGTTTGGTAGTCTGAGTTGCTACGCTCTATTGACAAGGCATGCTTGATGTACAACTCACAAGGATAACTATCACTGATTGTCCTTGTCCGTGCAGTTGGCCCAAATCCTGTTGTGAAGAGGAAGGTCATGATTTCTTTCGACATTCCAGCACCCTCAGATTCACACGCGGCGTGCCATGGTGAGAATGCTTTTATATTATGATTGCACCAGGCTTCCAAGCTTTCTGGGTAGAGCTTGTAGATTGAGTCAAATGTCTCCCAGTTTAACCACCCAGCACGCAAGAAACTTGAAATGGGGAAAACCTTCTTTCCTATGAGTGCATGAGTAGACTCCATGGCTAGCTGAGGCCACTCCTTGAGAATACTACATGCTTCTAGAACAAGAGGCATAGCATTGGTAGGGCACCTCCAGTCGTCGTGGCTGAATAGTCTCTTCACCCGCAACCAACCTTCTTCCACTTGATCACTCATTGCCATAAAAATGTACAGCACCTGTTTCTCAGCAAATCACTGCAGAGATGACTGCTAGCTATCTATCTAGTAGGCAAGAACCAGAACCGCAAGGAGGAGATTGATAGACTTTGCTTTGCTTCCTCGTGCGGTTTGGGTTGCAACGGCCTCTGTCCTTAAAAACCGGCAAAACTTTACGATTTCATTGGACCTCCGTCATACCCCTGACGGTACGGTACGAGCCAGCTGGGCAGTCAAAGGGTGACGAGTCAAATGCAACCATTCTTTGTCCTCAAGAAACGAAATTCTGCCTTTCTACTAGCTACTAGTAGCTTGCTACCGTAGCGGGATAGTTCATTTCCTCATTCTCCTTTACAAACAAAGACGTTGATGGCGTTGGTGTTGCTTTGGGTAATGACATCTGAATATATATGTGTTCTAAAGAAAGAGATATCTGCTTTTTGCTGATGTTGGCAAGAAGCGTAGAGGGAAATCTTCAATCTCTCTACTCTCTACCCAACGATTGTTTAGGTGTCTGCTACACTGTAAATACAAGTCGATCTCCTACGAGAGCTGCCGATATGGAGCAGTTTTGTTGCCGCCAGCCGAACACCAAAGCAGGCTGCTCGTAGCCCCCGTCTCGCAACCGTACCGTACAGCCTAACCAGCCACATCTTATCATATAACAAAGACACTCTTCTTTTTGGAGTTTTTGTCTCCTCCTTGGACCCACTGCTGTTCGTCAGTTGCAGGATTCGAGGCAGATTGTGGTGTTGGCTGAAGGGCACTCAATTTCTCAATGGCGGCATCTCCCTTGGGCTGGGAAGTCAGTTGTTGGAGGTGCTTGGAGCTTTGTTCGTCCTCCGTCAAGGCAGCATCCCCAATCTTGGCTTCAATATCTTGGGCTAGAACATTGGTTATGGTGGAAGACATGTCGTCCGTGGATTGGGTTGTTTTGGTGGCACCCCAACTGCTACCTCGCTTGGAGCGGTTGTTGTTGTCCAGTTCCCGAGCACACCGATTGGCAAGTTGAGCCAGATACTCCTGACTACCGATGGATCTCAACAGCTGTCTCATTTCTTCTGCCTGTGCCTCATGGGATTCTAATTCCTTTTCCAGATCCTCGTACTTGTGTTTCCCTTGGACCTGCATATTTACAAAAAGTAAAGCAGGCAAACCAAACACAAAATGAGCAAGTCCTCACAGAAACTCTACTTTCAAATGCACCCTGCAAAACCTACCAATTTCACGCTAAGAACTACAGTCAAAAAGCTGACCACAATGACACTGAGGTTTGTCTTGTGCTTGCCCAAGAACTCTGTGTAAAATAACATTCATGGTTAGAAGTTGAAATGGCCCCGCAATCGAAATTTTCACCATTTTGATAGCTAGCTCTCTAGAGATATTTATATAAGTACAAACCTGAAAATCCCTTCCATTTGAGTTTCTTTTCGGCTTCTTCGGCATGTCTCTTTTCTTGCTTCTGTGTAATGGCGGCAATCTCTTCATGCATCTGATTTGCCCGTTGTTGGCGGGCTTCCTGGGCTTGTCGTCGCAAGGATAGAGCATCCGTGCCTTCCTTGGAAGAAGAGCTGGAAAACCTTGTTTGACATTTGCCCCCACCACCACCAAGCCGACGAGAAAATGCACCAGAGAGGATGCTACGAGCAGTAGCAGTACCAGATCGCAGACGATACGAAGACGATAGCATGGTGATGATGGTCTCCTTGCCGTTTTTCTTTTGGTTTCTGGGATGTGTGTGGTGTTCGTCGAGTCCCTCCAAAGCCCTAACGCTACCCAAAACTTTAACCCTACCGCTTCAAAACTTACGAGCAGTTCAGACCCGATTTTGCAAAAGCTCAGACCTGATGTTGCATCGCTCCGTCTTGATTCTCTGCATGGTTACGGTACTGTATGCTCTTTCAACCTCTGACTTCCCACACACAGCCCGCTCTCAGAACATAGTAACCTTTCCATTTGGTTCTAACTAAACCTATGGCTGCTGAATTCTGGTTGCCTCCCAATGCAACACCTTCCTCTCTGCGGCGCAAACAAAGATACTATGAGGTTTCTCAAGAAGACAAGCGATACGTATGCTGGTACTGCAAGCTCTAAAAAGCCGGGTGCCTACCCGGTCTCGGGGGGTTCCCCAGGAGGGTCGCATCTTGACGGGATCGCCAACAACGGCGCAACTTCTACCGTCGCACTGAATGGACAGCTGGTCGAGGAATCTCCTCTCCATAATGAGACAAAAGCAGGAACGTCCTTGGCGGTGGATGTGGAGCCGGTCCAGGAACACAGTCGCACGTGGCTAGTTTTGTCTCTGCTGGCTATTCTTGTCATAGTTGGCATTATCATTGTTCTCTCCGTTGCCTTGAGTGGAGGGTTTGATGGAGATGATGACTCTGGTAGCAGTAATGATTTCCCTGTCAATCTGGACACCAAGGCTTCTACGTTGGACAAGATAAGAAGCGCGGGAGTGCTAAGAGCTGGAGTGCTAAGAGCTGGCTATCTTGTGGAATTTGAACAATTCCCAGATCTGGTAAAGGTGTTGACCTGGTCCAGCGTAAGTATTCCCACGAACAGAAACTTACGTTCTTCCTTGCATTGTTTGTCCACTATCAGACAAGGGCAATTGCTGGTGGTATCATGGGTGGAGCTGGTACTGTTGAATTCGAAAAGATGTCCTTTCTTTCAGATCTCGTTACAAGTCTTGCCAATGGCACCGTAGACATTTTACTCACAGTTATCCCCCATACCATGGAAAGGGATGTTTTGTGGGTGAGTTCCAATAGAGCTTTTTAAAAGAGAATGGCATGCAAACTCCATCTGATCAATTGGCTCTTTTCAGTCATTTTCACCGTCTGTTCCTTTCATGTACAGTGGATTGCAAGTGGCTGGCGATCATTTCCATGTACAGTGTGTAGAAGATGGATTCCACCATCTTGGTGAGTGCAGTGGGTTGCGAGTATGTGTTGAAGGACACAATTATAAGGCCATTCGCACCCATTTGCCGATCGGATACATGGGTAACAAACACATTTTTGTCGTCGACACAATCGAGGGACTCCTTGAAGGATTTAAGCGAGACTGCAATGTTTTGGCCAGTGACAGGTTGATCCTCCAAGATATTTATTTGAGGACTCAGTCATGGAATGGAACCTTCACAGTTGGTGAAAACTTCTACTCAAGGAAGCCTTTTGTGGCTCTGACGCGAAATGACGACCCTGAGTTCTCAGATTTTGTCAATGCCATCATTATGGGTCTCATGGCTGCAGAACAGCAAAACATTACCCAGGCAACAGCCCACCTACTCCCCCAAACAACCCTCTTTGGGGAGGACTACAAGGACATGTTCCGGAATGCCATTTCTGCAGGTGGCAACTTTGGAGAGGTGTATGATAATCATTTTGAAGGTTCTCTGCCAAGAAGTGTCGTTGATTCCATCAACAATGGCACTACTGGCTTGCTGTACCCCCATCCCTTTGGGGGCATTTCCATGGATAAGGGTACCTTTTTGAATGTACAAGGAGAGAGAGAAATGTTGCGCTGTGGCATTCACACAGACAGACCTGGGTTTGCTGCTGGAACTGAGAACAACACCTATTCTGGGATGGATGTGGACTACTGCAGGGCCTTGGCTGTGGGTCTCTTCAAGGGTGATGATGAAGCAGTAGAGTTTGTGGAAGTGGTGGACCAGAGTGATGGTTATGCTCTACTTGCTTCCAGGGAGATTGATGTGCTGACTGGGGCTACCTGGACCCTGCAGAATGATGTGAAAGAGCCCACTACCAATCAAGGCTATTCCTTCTCTATCCCATATTTTTATGGCTACAGCCCCAACCATGACAATTTTTGCTTGGCCACACGACAAGATGATCCAGACTGGAGTGGGTTTGTGTACTGGATTGTCACGTCCACCTTTTATGCTGAGGAACATGGTATTGGGCACCAGAACTCCTCCCTTATGCCTGAAGTCTTTGTGTATGGACCAAGGATGAAACATGTCTTTCGTGATGTCACTCTAGCTGTTGGGAGCTATGCTGAGATTTATGAGAGGAATGTTGAGGCTTTGATACCACGTTCTGGCAGGAACCTTTTGAATACCCAGCCAGAGTCCCAGCACTATGTTGTACCTGGGCTCTTTTGACATGCTGAATCAAATCATCCTTCCGTAGATAATCTACCTACTCTAAACCCCCGCTATAAATTCATCTCAGACCTCTTTTGGCAGGTAGCAAACTCTGGACAGATCTTGCAATATCATTTACGAGGCACCAGGTGGTACCGGTGGTATCGGTGCCATGATGTTGCTGATTATTGACCTCCCTGGTATTTGATTGGCCCCTTCAAATTTTGAACTCTGACGTACCTTTCGGGGAAGCAAATCTAAAACTAGCTAGCTAGTCACTTATCCATTTTACATGCTGTACCACCCCCACCACGGCTTTGATAATAACCAGTTTTACAATCACTTGTTAATAACACAACACCAAGGTGTGCAGTGTGCAGTACATGTACATGTACTACTATTAATAGCTAGTAGGATTGATTCCTCAACTCGCTCTAGACTACTACTAGCTAGTAGTAATTAACACGTGTTAAAATGCACCCGAAAACACTCATCGTCTGCGATGTCCAGCCCGAAGTGGTAAAGAAACTACCACAGCCACGTCTGTTTTGCGATGTGGTTAACCTCGCTGTTGCCGCCGCCAGACAGCACGGACAAACTCGCATCCTCTATACCCAACTGAAGTTTGACTCTTATGACACCATCCCACCGACCCATCCTCGCCTAGGAGTCTTGCGCAAGTTGCCAGCAACAGTGAAATGGTTCACTTCTTCTGATCTTTGTATTGCTGGCACGGATAATAATAAACACCAGGAGGAATTGATTTTACCGCGAACTACGTTTTTGCCACAGGCAGACACACCATGGACGGATGCCTTTAATGATGTGTCTACGAAAGACCACCAAGTGACAGTCGTGGGATATGGCCCTACTGTACAAACGGTTTGTCATTTGTTAGGAGATATTCTCGCCTTACCAAATGTGGATATTATCAGGGAGTGCGTAGCTGATGAAACTCCAGCGAGATGTCAGGCCTTCTTGAATCATGGCTTGCTTTTTCGGGAGACTGTTATTACTATGACGGATTATTTGGAATCCTTGGATCTGCTGCACGAACGTATTGAAACATCCATGGACCTGCCACCGTCGGCTCCACCACCCAATCAGTACGTTTGCGATGTCGGCCGTGGTGGTCATTTAAGTCTATTCATGCCTTATATTACCAACAAATATGGATATTGCCAATGGCCCACGCAACCCTGGTACCAAGAAGGAGGTTTATCATTAATTAAACAATATTATTGTCCTCTCGGAAGATGGGTCATCCCGCTTTGCGACGAGCCGCAATTTGGAAGCGGTCCTCGCTTCTTCTTGATGGGTCGACAATTCTTGGATGAGAAGGATTTGCTCTTCGACCTTGTTCCTGAGCTAATGCCTCCGACGTTCCATAGATTGGAAGAAGCCAAAGAATACCTTGCCGCACAAGGAAAAGAACTGTTGTGGTTTCTGAAGAAGGTTAACCAAAATGGAGGTCGAGCCGTCGACGTGCTCAAGACTCTGCCAACCCAACCACTGGCCAAAGACGACCAACTGCAAGCCCATATCCCACGTCCCCTGCTATGGGAAGGGGGATTGAAGTGTCACGTGAAAACCTACTACTACTTATCAGCCTGTCAGTTGCCAAATTCGAACGACGTCGAATGGCAATTGTACCTGCATGATTTATTTTACTTGGCTGTGGCGTCCAAGCCTTGGAGCACTGAAGATCTTTCCGACGAATGCCAAATTACCACAATGCGATTGCAGCGACTTCCGGCGGATCATCCCTGGCGAATTCAATGGAAGCTGTCGGAGCTTTGTCCAAAGCATTTGGAGACTATCATGACACGGGCAATCCAACAAAGCAAACTGCAAGTTCCCGTTGTGAATGAAGAAAACTCCGTTTCCGAAACTAGGACCTTTCGAACACTGCAATTCGAAATCAATTCGGCCGATTGGATGCTGGACGAAGACGGCCGAATCTACCTGATTGAATGCAACGGTATTCCGGTGTTGTACGATGGGGGGCAGTCGCAGCCCCTGTGTACTCGAGGATTGCAACTCTATGACTCTCTGTACAAGAAGGATCCACAGACTGCAGTAGTCAATGATCATGACCTCTTAGAGGACTCTGTGGATCTTGCCATGACAGGGAAGGTTCCTGCGACGAGTCTTTGGAAATTAGTTGCAGCCATCCCAGCAGTGAAAACGACTTGAGATGACATTACATGTATTTGCATGGAATTGAACAAGAAGAGAATTCCTTCTGACCAAGTTATTATGGCCTCATCATTGTCTTCCGAAAAATTAAGTAGTAGAGAATCTCTTTGACGCCAAACAGTGCACTGTACTCTAGCAAGCTATTACTCGCGGCCCAACCAACCAGCGCGAGTTTACTAGTATACTAGTAGTAAGGTAGCAACAGCTGAAGTAAGGCAGATCACGCGACCAAAGCATGAGCATCAAGGTGCCATTTCGGATTATTAACGTCCTCGGGTATTTGATTGGCCCTTTCAAATTTTTAACAATGACGTCAGTGCAGAATCTCACAATTTGCAGAAGTGAGATGGAAACTGCCACCGATTGACCACTCCCATCTTCGCCTTCGATGTTGATCCTGTTCCGTCAATTGCCTCTCCGAAACATACCGGTACTGCTGCAAGTCTGAGAAATAGCCATAGTAGAGTACCAAATACTCGGCATCAGTTCATAGAGTGATAAATTGAAAGCAACTAGTAACATGATTGTCACCAGAACACCTCCTTCAAGAGTCATCGGTCGCTCTTTATTGCGGCATGTGAACAATCGTTCCACCTCTTCGCTTTGGAATACTACTAGTAATAGAACCATCACGACATCATCAGCTCACTGTCGCCAAGAAGATTTGGATCATGCAGTCGCGTTGGTGAAGAGTCACGACCCATCTGGGTTGCTCCCGGGAAGACTCTTGCCCAACACGGAAATGCAGACTGCCTATTTTGCCGTGAGAAGCTTTTGGGTGGAGACCGGTTTGAGGTTTGGGTCCACCGCCCAAGTGGCGCCCAATGCCACACCAAGAGAACACTTGGAGTGGTGGCAACAGTCCTTGGATGGCGTCTATGCAGACCTGAACAATAAAAAAGAAGAAGAAGAAAACAAAGGAGATTCCGTCGAGGATTGGCGAGGGCATCCCACGTTGCGACTAATGCATGGTGTGATCCAGGAATCTGCTACTAGCAATCACTCCGCATCAACAAAGACACCACTTCTTTCCAAAATTCATTTCGATGATGTCCTTCAGGGACGCCGCAATGATTTGGACTTGAAGCAATATCCCACTCTACAGCATTTAGAAGACCACGCCGTTCTCTCCTGTGGATCTCTGGCGCAGCTCGTACTGGAGAGTGGAAACATGACATCCGAAACCCATCCAGTGGCTCATCAGGCCGCCAGACTAGTGGGAATGGGGCATGGATTGACGAATGCATTGAGGACGAGTATCCCCGTGATTTCGACCACGGGAAAATTGATTGTCCCGGAAGATTTGTGTCAAAAGTACGGAATTACCAGTCCTCGGTATCTGCTCAGTGCTCTGGGACAAGGCGATACCAAGGCACAACAAGCCATGGCTCAGGCGGTCCAGGAAATTGCCGAACACGCCCAATCGCACTTGCAAGCAGCCAGAGACCTTCGAACAGATGTCTTGGCCGAAGACCCCAAGGCAGTTTCTGTCTTGTTGCCGGCGCTGGCTTCCGAAACGTTTCTACAACGCCTCCAAGAGAGTGGCTACAACTTGACCGATCGCAATCTACGTAACGTTGGCTTTTTAGAGCATTGGCAGTGCGCTACCAGAATGATCATGGCGTACTATCAGCAAAAGTACTAGCTAGCTTGCGCGGTGTCCTTGATTGTCTCCCATTCGTGGCAACAAACGCGGAGCCGCCACTTTGAGCTACACAATTGATCTGACAGACTTCTCGCACCAGATCCAACAATGTACAGAAAGCAACAGTGATAAGGATGTAGATGCTTTATAATAGTTTACTCTAGTCCATGTAGCAAGTAAGTTTCTAAGATATATGGATGCGGATAAAAGAAATGGATACAAGTCGCCCTACAGGCGACACTTCTCCGGGGTCTCCAAGCAATTCACACTGACCGAAACCAAGTGCGATCCACATTCGCAATGGCAACCACAGAGGGCACCGCGACAGTCAAATGTAAGATCTCGGATTTCGCACATTTCTGGAGGTAGGGTTCCGTACAGCAAAGTCCGTTGAACATGAAAGTTCTCCAGCTTGCCCGTGACGGCCAAGTCGGCAACTTCTTGGGGGACCTCACCATGGAGATGGGTTAGGTAGGCCAGGAAATGCGACAGCTTGCTCAATTGGCCAATCTCGGAAGGCAAGGTCCCATTTATGGGATGGTTGGAGCTCACGTCCAAAAGCTGCAACGAATCGCTCATCAATCCAAGTTCACTGGGAATGTTACCGGAGAGTCTATTCCAGTCGAGACGCATGGTGAGCAAGATTGGGAAGAGTCCCAGCTCTGTAACGAGGAACAAAGTCAAGGGGGGAGAGAGGCATGGTGAGAATACACAAGAGGATGAAGAAGCGGATCAAGTAAATGAAGTCACCTCAGCTTCGTACCTGTTGGGATTGTACCGTTCAAGCGATTTCCATGCAAGTGGAAATTGATCAGACTCGAGGCTTGGACGATATCGACCGGCAAGGTTCCTGTCAGCGAGTTGTTTCCGATTGACAGGGCTGTCATGTTCGAAAGAAGACCGAACTCGGTGATCAACGAGCCGCCAATTCGATTGTTGTCCATGGTTAGCTCTTTCATTTGGGTTAGTTGACCAAACTCGCTTGGGATGGTTCCATTGAAGTTGTTCGTCGACAGGCGGAACGCAACGGCATGGTTCAACAAACCAAGCTCTGTGGGAATCTGGCCCGAAAAGTGGTTGTCATTGATCCCCACGGAATGCAGTCGCGACATGGAGCCCACTTCACTCGGAAGCTCGCCCGAGAACTGATTCTCATTCAACTGAAGGTTGACCAGGAGCGACAGCTGGGCAATCTCGGATGGCAGAGAAGTATTGAAACGATTGTCTTCCAAGGACAGCTTCTCCAGGCCGGACAAGAGTCCAATTTCAGATGGCAAGGGACCTCGGAGTTTGTTGCCGTGCAACGAAAGGATTGAGAGTTTTTGCCAGCCTTCCATCGCATGGGGTGGCAAGACATTCGTCAGGCTGTTCCCTTGAAGCTCTAGGGTCCTTAGCTCGGTCAGATTACCAAGAGTGGCAGGAATGGAGCCTCCCAAGTTGTTGTGATACATGAGCAGGGAGATCAACTTGGTCAAAGATCCAATTTCGGGAATTTCTCCCATGAATTTGTTGTCCGCAATCTCCAAGTGCTCGAGAGCTGTCAGTTGCCCCATTTGCCTTGGCAACATGAACTTCATCTCATTGTTGGAGATACGGAGGACTTCTAGTTTCGTAAGCAATCCTGCAAGAGCAAGCAATCACACAACTGTTAGCAGCATGATTCACCAACAAGTTCGCGAGAGGAAGTCCCATCACACATACCTATTTCGGACGGCATCAAGCCGGTGATATGATTCGAGTTCAACAGGAGGAGTTCGAGGTCAGTCCATGCTCCCATGGTGTGGGGGAGAGGCCCATAGAGGTCGTTGTGGTCGGCGACAAACTCGCGGAGCGCAGTCCACTGCCCCAACGTACTGGGAATCTCCCCGTGGATCTTATTGCTTGCCAACTGCAACGCCACCATCTTGGTCATACCTGGACCCCAATGATGAGGGATTGATCCCGAAATGGAATTTGTATCGAGGCGCAACTCTTCCAGGTTCTCCATAAACTCCCAGGAGGCTGGAAGGGTTCCGGTCAAATGGTGGTTCACGGAAAGATCCAAACGCTTCAACGTGCCCACCGATGTCAAGTTGTTTGGTAGAGCTCCATGGAAGGCATTACCGGACAATGAGAGCCACTCCAATCGACTAAGGAGATCGAGTTCGGTTGGTAGGGTTGCGTTTTGGAACTTGTTTCGGTCCAAGACAAGGTTTTCAATGTGCGTTATATTCTGCAGCTCGGGTCCGAGTGTTCCAGTGAACTGGTTGCCACTCAATACGAGGGTCTTGAGATTGTTGGGCTTTTCCATCCCCGGCAAGCGTCCCGTGAGCTCGTTGTCCCGCAAGCTCAGAATCTCCAACTTGGACATGGTTCTGATCTCGGTGGGAAGAGATCCAGTGAGAGAGTTGGCATCCAGCACCAACGTCTTCAAGGCCGTCAAGATTGCCACTTCAGGAGGGAGGTTTCCTACGAGATGGTTTTCGTAGAGTTCCAAGTGCTCGTAGGGTCCCAGAACAAAGGCTTCATCGTCCCCAACAACCTCCAATTGACAGGGCTGTGGTGCTTGACGTCCCGGCTGAACATCGTCTTGGTCTCCACCCAAGGCTTCCAAGAGCAAGTGATCGTGGACCGATTTGGGCTGAAGGGGTGCCGTAGTCCATTCACATTCGTGATGGGAATAGTTGAGCCACCCATCGGCTTGCTTCCAGGACGACGTGCCATTGAGGGCGTGAAACAGAGTGGCCAAGGCCAAGCGTTGCAACAAGCGTCCGTCAGGATACTCTTGCAAGTCTGGATCAGCCAATACCCACTGGAGGGCCTCTGATTGGGACGAGTTGGTATCATTGAATGCCCAAAGAGTGTAATTGGGGACCAACGCCCTCATGTACACTTCGTCTACATGACGCTTGTCTCTGAGCAAAAAGATCAACACAATCGTGATGATTACGACACTGGCAAAAGCCGCAAAACATCCCATGGCGTTCCTGATTTGTTTCTTCTTCTCTGCGATCGCTTCATCGTCATATTTGCCTTCAGTTTCATCGCCATTGTCATCTTCCTTATTCACGTCACGATCATACGAATCCAGCAAGTCTTGACCAACTTGTTCAATCAGGCTGTCTCCTTCTGAATTGGCCGTGTTTTCTGCCGTTGGCGCTTCTAACCCACCAAGACAGGCATCGGTCGGTGCTGGCGGCGTAGGAGCCACAGGAACTTGTCCTTCCTCCAAGTCTTGAACGGGGAGGAAAGCTGGGCGTGCCCGTGCGTTGTTGCCGCGGCTGCTGTAGCTGTTGATCGAAGCGTCCATCATCTTGCTTGTGTATTTAAGTTGGTCCAAAATTTGATTGATTTCTTTCGGCAGGTCAAACGAAGTGGCCTCTCTATTCTACTGTATGTTTTGTGAGAGTAGCGCAAAAAATCAAAGATCAAAATGCCATACTGGGCATCACTGGGAAAGCTCCTCACGGCAGTGAGAACCAACCAAAAGTAAACCAAGGACAACCAATGACTTGTCACCGTTCGTTGACGGGTATCTTTGGCTCCTACTGGATGTTTAGCGTCATGTATCACATGGAAGGTTTCATAATAATCAATTGCCGTGACAGCATGTACATGAAGAATATATGGCTGGGGTGGTGGTTACACATCTACAGCGACACGCCTCACTGAGATTGCCCTACACGTGCTTGGCAGCACAATAAGGTTGCTTCGTTTTGGTGGGAAAAGTGACGAGGACATTGAGTTCTCCAGTGGGTTCGCATGGAAGGCACAAAGGGTCACTTGGTCATTGATCTTCGGCTATTCATTCGGTACCAGTACCGAGCACAAAAGCCAGCAAAGTGGATACTAGTACGTACCGGTGACCAGTACCGGTACGGTACCCCTCTGTTGGGCGGAAAGTTCGTTCCTCACAATAATTTAGTTGACTCGTCTCTCGTGTTGATCAGCGGGAAGGGTTGCAGCAGGGATCTTTCGTTGTTTTTTTAATTAAGTCTGAGCTGAGTTCATTGCTGTTTCAGGATTTGTTTGTAGTCGTGTACTTTGAATGGCACAAGAGCGGCTGGTATTTGTTTCTCAAATAAATTGCTCCCAGGCGATAGAATTTGTGCTGTTTCGTGGGTTGTCGAGGGAAACTTTGAATAGCGTCATAAGAACTGTTGTGCCACATAATTGTATCCTTCCCTTCGACTGACGATGCACAGCACCAACCCCGCAACAGTCCTGGTCTGTTACACTTTTAAAAAGCTTTTTGGAATGATTGATCTAGCAATGATCGTTGACTAGCTAGCGATAAACTCCTCAAACTTCAACCCTCTACAGAAGCGATTCCGTTAGTTTCGGCTTATGTATTTTGCAGTCTGGCTATAACTTCTCTTTTGCCTCATGACATTCCTTTTGCGAGAGGAGCCAAAACCAGCTGGTGGTTGGCAATCACGAGGTGAACCTCCCGGGACTCGCTAGAACGAGGTAGACGTAGAATCCCCTTTTAATTTTTAGCTTATTCTTTTGTGTCATCCCATGTCTACATCGTACTGCACATCGGCCTCCGTTCGCAGGTTATGAGCCCAAGTCGTTCGTCACACTTGCACCCAAGCCGAGACTAGGTGGAGGTTGTTTACCTCACGTAATTGGCTAGCGGAGTGAGTTTGATGCGATGTTGCGTTCGAAAACCCGATGGTTGACCTCTCTCGTCATGGTCGGACGATGAGAGCTGGATCTTGCCGTTTTTTTCGGCAAATTCAGACAAGAGAATCAGGTCACATCAAGATGATGGTGTTGACCGCAAGACCGCAAGCTCAAGCTTGAGCTGAGCTCCACGTCGAAATCCAAATGGCTGACAAGCCATTCTTTGGACGACGACGACCAGGTCAGAGACAACCTACGTTGTAGTCTCGCCGTACCAATCCTAGTGAAGTCTACGCAATCCTGGATACCATTCAAGGATGATGTGGCACTTCGAGCTGGATCCTGACCTGAAAGTTCGTCAGTTCGCTGGGGTGTCGCTCCTCCTTTTTCGAAGTTGACCTCCAGATCACTTCTAAAATTGCGCCAATTCCAAGCTGACCATGACGCGAACTAGCACTCAACAAACCCGAGTAGAACAAGAGACTAGAGACCTCGAAGATGAAGAGCTCTCCATTCCCATCTACTCACCACAACCCTTCCGTCCTCTAGGTCGCCGCGACTCTGGTCTGTGGCCCGACCTTGGACAACAGAACAACTGGATCGACGAAAGCCGACGACGTAGCGCGGTGTTGACCACGAGATTCCAGCGGTTGATGGAATCACCGCCGGCCTCGACCTTGGTTCAGCGTGCGCGAGGTGCCCTGACAACCTCCCGTCTTGGCAGATTGACCTCTCGCCGTCTGACTTTCTCGCAAGAAGATTCCGACGCAGCTCTCGTCGCAGGTGGAGGTGGTAGTAGCGGCACTGCCGGTGCGACCACGACCTCTACTTCTCGCAAGAAATCCAAGTCGAAATCAAAACCCAAGCCTGACTCTGAGCCGGATCCTCCGATGACGACGATAACGGCACTCCACCTGATCCAGAGAATCAACTTGGAAAGCCAGGACCCGGTGGTCCCGGTGGTCCAGGTGGTCCCGGTGGTCCAGGTGAGGTGGTAATGATGACGACAACGATGATGACGGTGACGAATGAATGGCAATGACAATTGATAGATGGAGAGGAAGAAGAAGGAAGTTACAAGACCCTAATGGTGAAGTCCTCCACAACCTCCAGGTGGATGGCCGTACCCTCACCGTTGTACTGCAAGTTCCAAGTGGACCTCATCAAGCTCGCCTATGGGATAATGAGAAGCGCCATACTCTCAGTGATGATGTTAGACAGACCCTTGTTAGAGCTGCCACAGCCCCTATTCTGGGAAAGCATGTCAAACTTGCCAAACAGTCCCTCCATACTGATGTCCATGGCATAATTGAGCAAGTCCAGAATCTAAAGGGCATGCTCAAGACTCTCAGGATGCACATGGAGAAATATGACATCATTGATGTTGGCAACATTATGACTCCTGCAACTAATTTTGCCTACACTCCAATGATTGAGCAGCAGTATGATATCCTCTCAGACTATGCCAAGATGACTCCCACATGGTGGGAGAATCCAACTACTTTTACAACCGAGCGGGCGAGAGGTCATAGGTCTCAAGGCATTTATTCCAAATGGGATTCTTCGGTGTTGGCCTTGAGAAGAGAGTACACGAGGGTCATGTTCTCTCGTACATAGGGCTCCTGAATGTACCGGTTGTAAAAGTAGTTGGATTCTCCCACCATGTGGGAGTCATCTTGGCATAGTCTGAGAGGAGGTCATACTGCTGATCAATCATGGGAGTGTAGGAAAAATTAGTTGCAGGAGTAATAATGTTGCAAACATCAATGATGTCTTATTGCTCCATGTGCATCCTTAGAGTCTTGAGCATGCCCTTTAGATTCCGGACTTGCTCAAGTATGCCATGGACATCAGTCTTGAGGGACTGTTTGGCCAGGTTGACATGCTTTCCCAGAATGGGAGCTGTGGCAGCTCTAACAAAGGTCTGTATAACATCATCACGGAGAGTATGGCGCTTCTCCTTATCCCATAGGCGAGCTTGATGAGGTCCAATTGGATCTTGCAGTACAACGGTGAGGGTACGGACATCCACCTGGAGGTGGTGGAGGAATTCGCCGAGTTAGGGTCTTGTAACTTCCTCTTCTTCCTCTCCATCATCATTGTCATTGCCATCATCGTCACCGTCATCATCGTTGTCGTCATCATTACCACCTCCACCTGGACCACCGGGACCACCTGGACCACCGGGACCACCGGGTCCTGGCTTTCCAAGTTGATTCTCTGGATCAGGTGGAGTGCCGTTATCGTCGTCATCGGGAGGATCCGGCTCAGAGTCAGGCTTTGGTTTTTGATTTCGACTTGGTTTCTTGCGGAAGTAGAGGTCGTGGTCGGACCGGCAGTGCCGCTACTACCACCTCCACCTGCGACGGAGCTGCGTCGTGAATCTTACTTGCGAGAAAGTCAGACGGACGAGAGGTCAATCGGCCAAGTCGGGTAGGTTGTCAGGGCACCCTCGCGCACGCTGAACACAAGGTCGAGGCCGGCGGTGATTCCGTCAACCGCTGGGATCTCGTGGTCAACAACCGAGCTACGTCGTCGGCTTTCTGTCGATCCAGTTGTTCTGTTGTCCAGGTCGGGCCACAGACCAGAGTCGCGGCGACCTAGAGTACGGAAGGGTTGTGGTGAGTAGATTGGAATGGAGAGCTCTTCATCTTCGAGTGTCTCTAGTTCTCTTGTTTTACTCGGGTTTTGTTGAGTTCTAGTTCGCGTCATGGTCAGCTTGGAATTGGCGCAATTTTCGAAGTGTTCTGGAGGTTCAACTTTCGAAAAAAGGAGGAGCGACAACCCATGCGAACTGACGAACTTGCATGGTCAGGATCAGCTCGAAGTCCACATCATCCTTGAATGTATCCAGGATTGCGTAGACTTCACTAGGATTGGTACGGCGAGACTACAACGTAAGTTGTCTCTGACCTGGTCGTCGTCGTCCAAAGAATGGCTTGTCAGCCATTTGATTTCGACGTGGAGCTCAGCTAAAGCTTGAGCTTGCGGTCTTGCGGTCAACACCATCATCTTGATGTGACCTGATTCTCTTGTCTGAATTTGCCGAAAAAACGGCAAGATCCAGCTCTCATCGTCCGACCATGACGAGAGAGTCAACCATCGGTTTTTCGAACGCAACATCGCATCAAACCACTCCGCTAGCCAATTACGTGAGGTAAACAACCTCCACCTAGTCCGGCTTGGGTGCAAGTGTGACGAACGATTGGGCTCATAACCTGCGAACGAGGCCGATGTGCAGTACGATGTAGACATGGGATGACACAAAAGAATAAGCTAAAAATTAAAAGGGGAATTCTACGTCTACCTCGTTCTAGCGAGTCCCGGAGGTTCACCTCGTGATTGCCAACCACCAGCTGGTTTTGGCTCCTCTCGCAAAAGGAATGTCATGAGGCAAAAGAGAAGTTATAGCCAGACTGCAAAATACATAAGCCGAAACTAACGGAATCGCTTCTGTAGAGGGTTGAAGTTTGAGGAGTTTATCGCTAGCTAGTCAACGATCATTGCTAGATCAATCATTCCAAAAAGCTTTTTAAAAGTGTAACAGACCAGGACTGTTGCGGGGTTGGTGCTGTGCATCGTCAGTCGAAGGGAAGGATACAATTATGTGGCACAACAGTTCTTATGACGCTATTCAAAGTTTCCCTCGACAACCCACGAAACAGCACAAATTCTATCGCCTGGGAGCAATTTATTTGAGAAACAAATACCAGCCGCTCTTGTGCCATTCAAAGTACACGACTACAAACAAATCCTGAAACAGCAATGAACTCAGCTCAGACTTAATTAAAAAAACAACGAAAGATCCCTGCTGCAACCCTTCCCGCTGATCAACACGAGAGACGAGTCAACTAAATTATTGTGAGGAACGAACTTTCCGCCCAACAGAGGGGTACCGTACCGGTACTGGTCACCGGTACGTACTAGTATCCACTTTGCTGGCTTTTGTGCTCGGTACTGGTACCGAATGAATAGCCGAAGATCAATGACCAAGTGACCCTTTGTGCCTTCCATGCGAACCCACTGGAGAACTCAATGTCCTCGTCACTTTTCCCACCAAAACGAAGCAACCTTATTGTGCTGCCAAGCACGTGTAGGGCAATCTCAGTGAGGCGTGTCGCTGTAGATGTGTAACCACCACCCCAGCCATATATTCTTCATGTACATGCTGTCACGGCAATTGATTATTATGAAACCTTCCATGTGATACATGACGCTAAACATCCAGTAGGAGCCAAAGATACCCGTCAACGAACGGTGACAAGTCATTGGTTGTCCTTGGTTTACTTTTGGTTGGTTCTCACTGCCGTGAGGAGCTTTCCCAGTGATGCCCAGTATGGCATTTTGATCTTTGATTTTTTGCGCTACTCTCACAAACATACAGTAGAATAGAGAGGCCACTTCGTTTGACCTGCCGAAAGAAATCAATCAAATTTTGGACCAACTTAAATACACAAGCAAGATGATGGACGCTTCGATCAACAGCTACAGCAGCCGCGGCAACAACGCACGGGCACGCCCAGCTTTCCTCCCCGTTCAAGACTTGGAGGAAGGACAAGTTCCTGTGGCTCCTACGCCGCCAGCACCGACCGATGCCTGTCTTGGTGGGTTAGAAGCGCCAACGGCAGAAAACACGGCCAATTCAGAAGGAGACAGCCTGATTGAACAAGTTGGTCAAGACTTGCTGGATTCGTATGATCGTGACGTGAATAAGGAAGATGACAATGGCGATGAAACTGAAGGCAAATATGACGATGAAGCGATCGCAGAGAAGAAGAAACAAATCAGGAACGCCATGGGATGTTTTGCGGCTTTTGCCAGTGTCGTAATCATCACGATTGTGTTGATCTTTTTGCTCAGAGACAAGCGTCATGTAGACGAAGTGTACATGAGGGCGTTGGTCCCCAATTACACTCTTTGGGCATTCAATGATACCAACTCGTCCCAATCAGAGGCCCTCCAGTGGGTATTGGCTGATCCAGACTTGCAAGAGTATCCTGACGGACGCTTGTTGCAACGCTTGGCCTTGGCCACTCTGTTTCACGCCCTCAATGGCACGTCGTCCTGGAAGCAAGCCGATGGGTGGCTCAACTATTCCCATCACGAATGTGAATGGACTACGGCACCCCTTCAGCCCAAATCGGTCCACGATCACTTGCTCTTGGAAGCCTTGGGTGGAGACCAAGACGATGTTCAGCCGGGACGTCAAGCACCACAGCCCTGTCAATTGGAGGTTGTTGGGGACGATGAAGCCTTTGTTCTGGGACCCTACGAGCACTTGGAACTCTACGAAAACCATCTCGTAGGAAACCTCCCTCCTGAAGTGGCAATCTTGACGGCCTTGAAGACGTTGGTGCTGGATGCCAACTCTCTCACTGGATCTCTTCCCACCGAGATCAGAACCATGTCCAAGTTGGAGATTCTGAGCTTGCGGGACAACGAGCTCACGGGACGCTTGCCGGGGATGGAAAAGCCCAACAATCTCAAGACCCTCGTATTGAGTGGCAACCAGTTCACTGGAACACTCGGACCCGAGCTGCAGAATATAACGCACATTGAAAACCTTGTCTTGGACCGAAACAAGTTCCAAAACGCAACCCTACCAACCGAACTCGATCTCCTTAGTCGATTGGAGTGA